GTAGACACTCAACAAATTTTCATTTAATCAGGTCTGATGATTGGTTGGAATATACACACCGTTTAACACAGTCTATTACAAGAATTTGCCACAGGGTGTCACTATTGTTCTAGAGATGAGCTTACACAGACTCCACCCACCCCCAATTTCTCCCCACCCTCTTTAATTTAAAAAGACTAAGGAATACCTGTGTGATGAGGAGGGAGGAGGCAAAGGGGATTACTTTTGTATGCAGATGGCTTTTTCTTTTTAATAAATGTAATAATAATACAATTCATTCCATTTGAATGTCCTAAAAATATTGCATCAACATCATATTTTGGAGTACTATGCGGTTGTCCTGGGTGTAAAAAATTCAAAATTGGGTTGAGAGACTACTCCAAGCCAGAGGACCCATGGGGACTTTCAATATTTACTCCTTCAGTAAACATCTATTGACTACCTGCTATGTGAAAGGTATCTTGCAAAACACAGTAAGCCAAGAGGTTTGGTTATATCTGGTCACTCTCCCCATAGCTCAGGGCAATTAGGCCCCTGTTTAAAGTCGCAATCAAATAGAGACTTGGTTCAGGATCGCTACTGAGACTCTGGTCACCCCAAACAGCCACTCGTAGTTACTAGACCTGGAAAATGTCATACAATCCTACATGCTATAGTGCTGCCTGGGGTAGTAGCCATCCATCACTGCTAGGGCGAGCAGCAGTCACCTGTAAAACATTGACCTGACCCATGGCTTCCTCTTTCTGGGCACCACTGAAGGTACAAAAGAAAAAACCAACAACATTCACTTGAATGCTTCTATCTTATAACAAGGTTTTTGAGATATTCACATACCATAAAATTCACCCATTTAAAGTGTACAGGTCAGTTATTAACATATTCAGAGGGCTATGCAGTCATCATCACTATCTCACTCACTTATTCTGAATATTTAATATAAATGGAATCATAACACAAACTGCTTTTAAATGGCAAAGAGAAGCAATTCTTTCATCTCCAATTCAACTGCCATAGTTTGATTGGGTGGGTTACTACTTCCAGAAAAGTGCTCCATGTATAAATCGATAAATCCCTATGATATACATCATGGACTCCCTAGAGAGTATTTCTTAACATAGCTAAACAATATAGCCAAGTGAAGTTGGTTTTACTCAGGACAAAAGTGAATGAAATTAATCATCTTCTGACATAATGACTTTTTAAGTATGGTTTTAGAGAATGTGGAGCCTGTTTGAGTACAATACTTGTATCTATTATCTTATATTCTGAAGTAGGAGAAAAGAAAAATTAGCTACAAGGCTCTGCTGGTCTCTTTCAATTAATCATTAAATTAACATCCAAGTTCTTCACCCAGGCCTACAGGGTCAAATGAGCTGACAATAACCTGCTGGACAGTGGAGAATAACATCAACAAAGGGAAACCGGGCCAGGCATTGCAATAACTATTTTCCTCCCACCAATCTTGCAAGATAAGTACTATTAAAATGAGGAAGTGAACATCAAACTAAAAAGATTCTGCACAGCAAAAGAAACCAGCATCAAAATGAAAAGGGAACCCACTTTCTGCTGGAACATATTTGCCAATGATACATCTAATAAGGTGTTCATTTCCAAAATATATACAGTATTCATACAACTCCACAAAAGGAAGACAAACAATCCAATTAAAAAATGGACAGAGGATCTGAATAGACTTCCCCAAAGAGGACATAAAAATGGCCAAGAGACATATGAAAAAATGCTCAACATCACTAATCATCAGAGAGATGCAAATTAAAACAACTATAAAGTATCACCTCACACCTGCCAGAATAGAATAAATCTTCAAATAACAAGGGCTGGAGAGAATGTGGAAAAAAGGGGACTCTAGTACACTGCTGGGGGGAATGCAGACTGGTGCAGCCACTATGGAAAACAATTTGGTGTTACGTCAAAAAATTGAAAATGGAACTGCCATTCGCCAGTGATCCCACTTCTAGGAATATATCCTAAGAAGCCTGAAACACCAATCAGAAAGAATATGTGTACCCCAATGTTCATAACAGCACTATTTACAACTGCTAAGACTGGAAACAGCCCAGGGCCCATCAATAGATGAGTGGACACAAAAGCTGTGGTACATATACACAATGGAGTACTATGCAGCTGTAAGAAAGAGAGATCTCTTATCATTTGAGACGACATGGAGGGACCTGGAGAGCATTACGCAAAATGAAATAAGCCAATCAGAGAAAAACAAATACCACATAATCTCACTTATTTGTGGAATATAATGAACAAAACAAGCTGATGAACAAAATAGACCCAGAGGTATAGAAAGAAGTACAGTTCAGACTGACAAACCTCAGAGGAGTGGGGGTGGAGGAGAGGGATAAGATAAACCAAAGAATTTATATGCATGTATATGTAAACAATGGACATAGACAACAATGCTGTGGGGTGGGCTCAGGAGGAGAGTGTCTGGGGTGGGGAAAGGAGAAACATCTGTAAGAAAAATAAATTAATAAAAATTGCAAAAAATAAAGTGAAATATTAAATAAAAAATTTTTAAATTATGGTACAGCCCTGGTGTTTTTGCTCAGTGATTAGAGCATCAGCCCAATGACCAAAGGGACCTGGGTTTGATTCCAAGTCAAGGGCACATACCTGGGTAGCAGGTTTGATCTCCAACTCCAGTTGGGGTCATGCAGGAGGCAACCAATCGATGTGTCTCTCTCACATCGATGTCTCTCTGTCTCCCTCTCTCTGTCTCTCTCTCTCTCTCTCATTTCCACTCTATCTAAAAATCAATGGAAAAATATCCTTAGGTGAGGATTAACGACAACAACAACAAAAGGCCATGGTACATTTACATAATGGAATACTATGTAGCTCTAAAAAAAGAAGGATCTCTTACCCTTTGAGACAGCATGGAGGGACCTGGAGAGTATTATGCTAAGTGAAATAAGCCAGTCAGAGAAAGACAAATATCACATGATCTCACTTGTATGTGGAAGCTAATGAACAAAATAAACTGACGGACAAAATAGATCCAGAAACATGGAAGCAGGGAACAGACTGAGAAACCTCAGAGGGAAGGGTGGCAGGGAGAAGAGATAAACCAAAGAACTTGGAAGGTGGGGGGGGGGGTCAAGGGGGGGAAATGGGGGACATCTGTAATACCTTCAACAATAAAGATAATTTTTTTTTTTTTTTAAGAGAGAAAATGAGGCTCAGTGAGATTCAAAAACGTATCCAAGGGAGACTGCATCCGGGTATATGGAATGCTGAGTAATGGATAAAAGCGCAGAATCAGGAACCAAGCTTCTGGGTTCAAATTCTGAATTCTATAGCACACTACCTTTGTGAGTTTGGGAAAGTTCCTTTACCTCTCTGTGCTTCAGGTCGCCTCTGTAAGGAAGGGATGCTAATAACACCTACCCTATAGGGAGGTTGTAAGGTTCAAATAAGTTAATGCCTAAAGCATTCAGAACAGTGCCTGACACTACAGTATTGAATTATAACCCAAAGAATAAATTAAGTATCCAGGAGTTCATAATGACATTAGTAAATGATTGAATAAATAAATAAATGGAAAAGAAAGAAAAATCTTTCTTACAGAATTTCAAATATATGTAGATATTTCACCCTCCAGGATATGGAGCTTAATTCTCCTCCCCTTAAGTGTGGGCTAGACTTAGTGATTCACTCCCTAAAAATACACCATGGAAAGAGAAAAACAGTAACTTTGGTGTGGAGACACCTGGGGCAGAAACCATCTTAAGTAAGTAATCGAGGTTGACACGGTTAGTAATAACTCATGTTGATATCAGGTACCCCCTGATTTGGTACTTAAATTGCAGAACAATATATATAGTACGATCTCTTTTATTTCTTACACACTTAGCTCAATTTAGGGATATGCATGTGTGTGTGAATATATTCAGGAATATGTAGGTGAGGTTTGGGGAAAAAATAGACCAAACTGTTAACAGTGGCTACTTCTAGGGAGTGAAGTGTTATTGGAGGAAAGAGGGCAGATAAAGAAGTACTTTCACTCTTTGTTCTATATATTTCTATATTGTTTAAAATTTTGCAGCAATTGCTTTTTAAATTTGTATTAATTCTTTAAAAGAGAGAAAAGAAATGGTTTAACAGAGAGTAAAAGAGAGAGAGAGAGAGAGAACTCTAGGGAGGAATTTGCAACTTTAAACTCAGTAGCTCTGACCCTGGCTGGGTAGCTCAGCTGGTTAAGCCATCATCCCCATACCCCCAATGCCCAGTCACAGCACATACAAAAATAATCCAATAAATGCATAAATAAGTGGACCAACAAATCTCCACCTCTCCCTCCCCTTCCCCCTCCCTCTCCCTCTCTTCTCTCTAAAATCAATTAAAAAAATTTTTTTGAATTCCATAGCTCTGGTCTCCTCCCAAATATAAAGAAGTCCTCTCATAAGGCATCCTTTTAAAAATCTTTTCTGACTAGTCATTTTCCACTTTCATTTGCTTTCAAAATATTTGAATCACACCCATACAATTGAATGCTGCTCTTACATTTGAAGCCAGTTTCTGAACTCTAAAATGTAGTGTCAATGCCAGCAGGGATGTAAAGACTTAAGAGACAAAGGGTGGGCCATGCTGAGACCTGAGGAAACAGAGTTCCAGACAGAAAGGGGGCGGGAGGGGAACCTCCAGAAGCTCTGAGCCCCGCCAGGCTGGAGGGTGGGCAGAAGGGGCGAGCGTGGCCCGAGGTCCCAGAGGTGGACAGGCCAGATCCGGGGGCAAGAAGGGAATTTAGTTTTAGGTCTACATTTCTCGAGAGCGTAGAGAAAAGGGGGGCGTGGGTGGAATGGCGGAGCCCGCGTCTGGAGGCCAGGCGGTCACTCGGGGTCAAGCACGCGCTCGGAGCCTGGAGCCCCAATCCGCTTACCGACGCGGCCGCGGAAAGCGCGCCTGGCGCACAAGCTTGGGTCTCGGCGCCCGCCGTAGACGCAGCCACAGAGGCGGCCCGTTGCCGTGGAGCCGGAGAGACGCCGCTCGGCCTCCACCTCCGTGGAGAGGGCCGCCGCGGGCCTCGGGCAGGATGTCGGTGCTGGACGCGCTCTGGGAGGACCGGGACGTCCGCTTCGACGTGTCCTCGCAGTGAGTCCCCGGGGCCGGGGCCTGTGGACCGCGCCGCGGCGACTGCAGGGCCGGCGGGCGGAGCCGCGCCCCACAGCTCTCGGCCCTCGCGAGGGCGCGAGGGGGTTTACGCCCGCCGCGAGCGCCTGGGGCGAGCCTGGGGCGCGGACCCTGCGGCCTTGCTGAGGCCGGCGTTACAGCGGGGCGCGTCGGGTACGTGGTCCCGGCCCAGGGAGCCGAGCGCAGACCCTGCAGGGACCACGCAGGACCGGGCGGCCCAGTGCACCCAAGCGATCTTGTGGGGGGCAGTCTCGTGTGGAGGGAGGAACGTAGGGCAGGGACTCGGGGAGCCGGGGTTCTGAAATGAGGCCTGGAATTACGACACAGGTTGTGAGCCCTGAGAGTAGAGACACGACTTGGCCCTCCGTGCTGGAGTCTCCCCGTCCTCACCTGCGGCCGAGGGAGTAAGCATCCTCCAAGATCCCCAGCCACGCCAGCTTCGTTTCCGTGGGCAGCCCCCAGCTAGGCATGCATCCAAGCACCAACAGGAAGAAGGAGCCCCCTTTTGGAGCCTCTCGAACATAAGTTTTTGGAAAATGTCATGCTTTAAAGAGAGTAGAATAGTTGGAAACCTCTTGCCTCAAAGTCCAGGAAAAATACCCATTTGGATATTAAATGTTGGAAAAGCTAAGGTTCTTGGGGGAATGGCATGGAGCTTATTATTAGCCACTTAGGATTCCTCATGACCAGAACCTAATTAGGTGGAAAAATGAGATGATAATTTTCAAGACTTCTTTGTGACTAAATATATGATACTATAGCGTAATCTTAGAACCTTTAAGAAGTTATAAGAGAATAGTATTTATAAGATTATAAGTCATAATTACATATTGCACACATTCTGTGACTTTTACTGTTATCTTTGGAGTGGGGGGTTCTTGATCCAAGAAAATATCCATTTCATGAATATTTTTAGTTATTAAACATTTATCAAATGCTTACTGTGTGCTGGTTACTGTGCTAATAGCTAGAGATACAAAAATAATAGGAAATTATTTCCCTCACTACCGTACCCACATTCTAGTGCAGGAGATACACATTGACAACTTTTTAAAAAATGCAATAAATACTATCCTGAAAGAAAGGAACATAAAGCTGGAGGACCATAAAAACAGAATAGTTGTCCTGCCTGGGGAAGGCCTCAAAGAAGAAATAATATTTGAATTGAGCTCTGAAGAGTGGGCAGAACCTTGTCAAGGAAGACAAGAGGAAAGTATTCCAGAAAAAAGAAAAGAAAAACAGAGTCTTGGAAGTATAAACTTCATTGGCTAGAAGGCAGTGTCTGGCAGGTACAGGATGGAGGTACAAATAGAAAAATAGATTAGTCAGATTGTGAAATGTTCAGCTGAGGTTTGGACTTCATTTTCTAGGCAGTGTGATGACATAGAAGACTTAAGCATAGAAGCGACATGACCATATATGTATTTTCAATAAGTAATTGAGTTGGCTGTATGGAGAATGTGTTAGAAGGCCCTATTCTGCTAGGTTTTGTTTTTTTGTTGTGGTTTTCTTTCACACACTGGAATGCATTGTATCAGTCAGCAAACTATTCTTTATTTTTTATTTCCCTTTGTCTCCTGTTTCTAATTGTTTACAAAGCCCTGATGCTGCTTTGCTTTAACCTGTTCCTTCATAACTGCCAGGCTCCCTTCCCTCTATTTAGAAACCTCTGGAGGTTCTCCACTGTCCACATGATAAGGCCCATCCCTATCTGACTAGCATTTATGGTTCTCTGTTCTCCATATCCAGTTCTTCCTTGTCCACTATGTTTCTCACTATTTCTCAGTATGGACCTTCTTCTCCAGCCAGGCCAGTCTTCTCACATTTCCTTATCATTTCTTATTTCTGGTCTTTAATCATGCCTCAGAGTCTCCCTCTCCCTCCCTCCTCTCTTTCTCCCCATCTCTTCCCCTTCAAATCCTACCTCTCCTTCTACTTCTGGCTTCTCTACATGTCCTGGTCACTCCAGGCCCACTAATCTCCAAGTTCTTGAAGTTTTTTAAGAACTTATTTTCTTTCTTTTTTTTAAGAATAGTTCATTGATTTTGAGAGAGAGAGAGAAACATTGATGTAAGAACATAACATCGTTTGGCTGCCTCTACACACCCCGACTGGGGACTGATGAAGCCCAAAATCTGTGGGCATATGGGCATCTGCTCTTACTGTTAGTTGAACTGGCAACCTTTCAGTACACAGGACAATGCCCAGTCAACTAAGTAAGCCACACTGGCCAAGGTCAAATACCTTATTTTCAATGCATGAACATTTGGTACTGTATTCTTTATACTGTTGGCTATTTTATAGGCATATGTCTTTTCTCTCTCTAACCAGATTTAAGTGGGTGTGTTGTAGCTTTAAAATTAAAGTCTTCATATTTATTTTAGACAAATGAAAACAAGACCCGGAGAAGTCCTTATTGATTGTTTAGATTCAATTGAAGACACCAAAGGAAATAATGGAGATAGAGGTGAGTATATTATCTAATATATATTATACTTCTGGTTTAACTTATAAATGTTAAATCATATTAACTGGGGAATAAGATATGAAACAGCATTATAATGCAAAGGTAATTGTGAGAGTGGGGGCGTTAAATCCACATAAGACTTTTCTTAGACTGAAATGCAAGAAAGGGCAGGTATTAAACATGTAGCCAGGGAATACAGGTTCTTCCCTCTGAACTTCGGTCCTTCAGTAAGTCCTTGTTCTGACATCAGCTCCATCCAGTATAACTGTTAAAAGTCCAGGAGCTCTTTTCCAAAGGTCATGGGATAGTTCTGACTTTTGGATCTGCCTCCCCAAGAAAAGAATATGGGACAGTAAAACATAAGTAGGCCATAGCTGTGCTTCCTTTTAAGAAGTCCAAGAGTAGTGCACAGCCACCTAAGACTGACACCTAGACATGGACAGGTGGAGAGCAGATTTAGTGCTGTATTGTGAAGTTTATTCATAGGCTAAGTAGTACTAGAAAATACTGTGAGATGTCTCTGACTGTCACTGAGGAACAACCAAGGCTGGACTCTAGAGTCCCTCCCAAAACAAATTTCCCCAAGGCTAGAACTTTAAACATCCAGGCTGCATACAGCAGCTGTACATAGAGCCAATGATCAGTGATCAACAGGTATGAGAAGCATCACTACTGTTCTTCAAAATAAAAAATAGGGAATGAAGAGTAGGCAGCTTAGTGTATCTAAAAAGGTTTTGGTGGGGATAGGAGGTTTAGTAGGGTGAGACATAACCTCTTATTGAAGAGAAAAGGTGAGGAAAAGGAACAGACTTCATTCAAGTAAGAAGGATCAGTAAATCCTAGAGATAGAACAGTAACCCTACTGGCAGAACATGCTCCCTGCAGCATTTTGAGTGGCCAATTGCTCTCTGCACCTTTCTTCTGGTCTGTTCTGGGGTGGTATGTGAACAGCACATTCATTTGTGAACCTTTCTTCTCTGTGAGGGGAACCTATCATCATCACCAGCTTCAGGCAGATCCTATCAATAGCTAGGGCCCATCATTTTTAAAGGAATTTTTAGATCACATTTCTGAAATAATGCCTAATATCAGCCAAGCCCAGGTGAGAATGACGTATCAAGATTTAGCAGCAAAGCCCTGGCAGGTTTGGCTCAGCGGTTAGAGCGTCGGCCCACAGACCAGAGAGTCCCGGGTTCGGTTCCCTCTGGGGGTGCATGCCTCGGTTGCAGTTTGTTCCCGGCCCCATGGGGCTGTATGGGTGGCAGTCAGTCGATGTGTCTCTCTCACATCAATGTTTCTCTCTCCCTCCCTCTCTCCTTCCTGCTCTATCTGAAGATAAATGCAAAACTGTCCTCGGGTGAGGATAAAAAAAGAAAAAGACTTAGCAGCAAACAAGAAGTCTTAGTTTGTGCCTTTGTGGGCAGAATAATAATCTCTAGATGGTCAGACTTTGACAAAACCTGAATTAACTTGAGGAAGCCAAGAGGAAGTTTTGGTCTCATACAGATAGGCAGAACTGTTATATGACAGTCTGTTCACTAGTCCAAACAAAGACTATGAGTACTCATTGAGCGTAGTATGCTACACTAGCACTTTGAAGTAGGGAGGGAAAAGCATCTCCCTGGCCAGAAGTCTTACTGTTAATAAAAATAACACACCTCAGAAACAATTGCTCAGAAAATGGAATTTTACAGGAGTATGCAGAGCTTCTGGTTAATAAGAAAGTACAAAAGGGAAGGGGCCCTGGCTGGGTGGGTCAGTTGCTTGGAGTGTTGTCCCATACGCCAAAAGGCTGTGGGTTCAATACCTGGCCAGAGCACATATCTGGGTTGCAGGTTTGATTCCCAGTTGGGGTGTGTACTAGAGGTAACTGATCGCTGTTTCTCTCTCTCATCAATGTTTCTCTCTCCCCCTTCTTTCTCTAAAATCAGTTTTAAAAAACATATCCTCTGGTGAGGATTTAAACAAAAAAGGAAAGGAGAATCCTGCCTTCTGGTTATTTATTTCCCCTCCTTTCCGAAAGTTTGAAAATGACCAAGGAAAGGCACACCCAAGTTCAGAATCCCCTTGTTAAACCTATAAATACCCCAAAAGATTAGCACATTTAATCTATTTCAGTTGTAAGTACTCTGACACGGAATTATCAGATTAGCTTTGTGCACTGAAGTTGTATGAGACTGAAACAGCCATATTTCAGTGTTTGGGAGATTAGGAGAAACAGGGAGATTATATTTTGGTGTTTGGGAGGACAGAGAGAAAAGTCCATGCTTGGAACTACCAGTCCATGCTTTGGACTTGTGGGATGGGGTCCTTTAGCAGGATAGTGGCAACATAAGAATACAGGAGACTTGTAGGAGATGTATTAAAAACGGAAAAACAGGTAAACAGAGTTGGTCAGTGGTTTTATAAGGCAAACTCTTCTCACTCCATAATTTTTCCTGGAATCCTCTAATAGAAAATATCAAGAGGAATAGATAGATGTCTCAGTTGTAGAGATATAATGTTACTTAAGTGAAATGGCATAAGGCAAAAATAAATCATTGTATCTGCAATAATAAAATAAGCCATAAAAATAAGTTTATAAAGAATTAAAATATATTAAAAATAATAGTAGTTAACATTTTGAATGTTTTTTAAATTGACTTTAGAGAGAGAGAGAAACATCAATGTGAGTGAGAAACATCAGTTGATTGCCTCCCATATGCACCCAACCACACCCTGACCAGGGATCAAACCCACAACCTGAGTATACACCCTGACTGGGAATCAAACCCGTGACCTTTTGGTGTATAGGATGACGCTCCAACCAACTGAGCCAAACCGGCCAGGGCTAATATTTTGAATGTTTACTATTTGCCAGTCACTGTTCTGAATCTTTTACATTATATGTATAATCACATAAAATAGTAATAAAATTAATAAAACAAAAAATGAAGTAGATGCTTTTTTTTTTTTTTTCAAATAAGGGAATTGAGGAACAAGAGGTTAATTAACTTTCCCAAGATTACATAGCTACTAAGTGATAAACCAGACTGCCTACATTGCTTTCTAAACTGCTAGGATCGATCACATTATTCTCTTCTCAAAAATGTTCGGGCCCGGCTGGAGTGGCTCAGTTGTTGAGCATCATCTTGTGTACCAAAGGTTGCCAGGTCAGTTCCTGGTCAGGGCACTGATCTGGGCAGTTTTGATCCCCAGTTGGGACACACATGGAAAGCAACTGATTGATGTTTCTCTCTCATATCAGTGTTTCTCTCTTTCCTTCCTCTCTCTCAACGTTTTAAATTTTTTAAATTGGGGATTTAAAAAAAAGAAAATTTTCCAAATCCCAATTCTAAACCTCACTGCCTCCGTTGCTAACAGATTTAAGTTTAAATTTCTTGGCCTAGCCTTGAAGAACTTCCAGTTTGTCCATAAACACCCTTTCTTGCATGTGCCACTGACCTCCACTTGGCCTCCAGATCCAGCACCCTTCTCCGCCCTTTCCTCTTTGCCCTGGGAAAATGTGTGGACTACATCAAAGGCCTTGTGCACTCTGTCTTCTGGTCGGAAGGGCCATGGCAAAAGATCAAAGAGAGGCAGGAGCGTGAGGTCTGGGTGTTTGTTCCCTGGGTTCGTTCTTCTCAATGCATTCGGCTCTTCGGGGCTCTTGTTACTTCCAGATTTGTTTAGCTCCTTCCTATCCCTCTGGGCCTGGGATGGCACAAGTCTGCTCTACTCATTTATGGTTCCTGACACCCCACCCATACCTTTGTAATAAGTCCTTTTGTATAATAACCTCAATTATTCTAATTTGAGTGTGCCATCTGTTTTCTATTTGACCCCAACTGATAGATGCAACATCTCCTCTTCTGTGATCTTGTGTGAACCTTCCCTTCTAACCAGACTGGGTTACTTATTTGTCCAACATGTCATGTAATGTTCCACAGCTTCTCTTGATGCCTTCCTTTATTTTTGGAATCTCCTGTCCCATCTCACTCCAATAGTCATACAGGCTTAGTTTCTCTGATTTTAGGTATTCTAGGGGTTTTTAGGGAGGAAGGAGTATGACCTGGTTATAGATTACTCATAAAAGAGTTCTGTGGTTATAATTTGTTGAAGAAAAGTTGTTAAACAAAGTTAAGAGAGTTTTATTATTTTAGGATATCTCAAAGCTATCGTAACATGCTAATTGTATTATAAATCTTTACGACACATAGTTTATTTACCATGCTCAGATTTCTTGACTCTTTTTTTCTTAGAGCATCCACAGGACACACTTTGAGAAATGAAGTTTATCTAACTTTGTATTTTAGTGTAAGAACATCAGTCTGAGACCTTAAACAGACTTCAGTCTGGCTATCACTTCATATGAGCAAAAAGTATGCACACAGCAAAAAAAAAAAAAAAATTGGGTATACAAGTTTATGACTCATGTAAATGAGAACTGCTGAGAGAGAGCACGCCTATGGCAGGGATTAGTGTATGTGAGCGTTCTTTTGGGAAGTGTGACTTCACTGAATGGCTGTGTAATTATACTATCCCATCCTGTTCTCAATTGTACACTATGACTTACCAGGACCCCCAGAACAGCTTCTTCCAAGACAAATAACCAGTACCCAATTCTCTACTCTGTCAGTTTGAGTCAAACCAAGACCTTGCTAGTGAATATTTGTATCCCTTCTGTAACTGTTTCTCTGGGATTCTGAATCATGCACTGTATTCCCTACATAGGATAAATCTGCACAATAAATATTTTCAATTAATAAATGTATGAAAACAGCTATGGGTGTTGGTGCTGATACTGGGCCAGAAGTTTCATGTCCACCGTATTCTGTATGACAAAAATAAGTCCTTACTTAAAGTAACCTGTTTTTTTGTTTGCTTTTAGGTAGACTCTTAGTAACAAATTTAAGAATTCTCTGGCACTCTTTGGCATTACCTAGAGTCAATCTTTGTAAGTATCTTTGTTATATAACACTAAACAAAAAAAAATATTTTGTCAGTAGTTTGGCTTTTTTTTAAATACATTTTTATTGATTTTAGAGAGAGAGAATGATAGAGGGAGAGAGAGAGAAATATCAATGAGAGAAACATCAGTGAAAGAGACATTGATCATCTGCCTCCTACATGTACCATACTGGGGATCAAGCTCTCAACCTGGGCATGTGCCCTGACTGGGAGTCGAACCGGTGACCTCTTGATGCATGGGATGACACTCAACCAACTAAGCCAGGGCTCACAGGGGGTTTTTTTGTTTGTTTGTTTTAAATCCTCACCGAAGGACACTTTTGCATTCATCTTCAGATAGAGCGGGAGGGATAGAGGGAGGAAGAGAGAGAGAGAAACATCAATGTGAGAGAGACACATCCACTGCCACCCACACGACCCCAACCGGGGCTGGGGACAAACTGCAACCGAGGTACTTGCCCTTAGCAGGAACCAAACCTGCGGTCTCTCTGGACCATGGGCTGAAGCTCTAACTGCTGTGCCAAACCCGCCAGGGCCCACAGTGGCTTTTGATACCAAGAAAGCTATACTATGAAATATGTGGAAAACTATTTGTTTGTTTGTTTGTTTGTTTATCTGTTACTCCTCATTTGAGGATATATTTTTGTTTTGTTTTTTAATCTTCACCCAAAGATATTTTCCATTGATTTTTAGAAAGAGTGGGAGGGAGGAGGGGAAAGAGAGAGAGAGAGAGAAACATCAATAGAGAGAGACACATTGATTGGTTGCCTCCCATATGACCTCGACAGGGCCCTGGAATCGAACCTGCAATTCACCCAGGTACATGCCCTTGACCAGGAATCAAACCAGAAACCCCTCAGTCCAGGGCCCACACTCTTCATTGCTGAGCCAAAACCGGCCAGGGTCTGAAGATATGCTTTTATTGACTTTGAGAGAGAGAAAGGGAAACATTGATATAGGTGAGAAACATTGATCAGTTGCCTCCCTGACCAGGGATCAAACCTGCAACCTAGGTATATGCCCTAACCAGGAATCAAATCACAGGATGATGCTCCAACCAAGCCACTTGGCCAGGGCGAAAACTTTAAATTGATATAAGTTTTAGAATCTTTGCCTAACCACTGACTGCATCATAATGCAAAAGGAATGTTTTTCAGTCAGTCTAGTTTGTCTCCTGGACATATAAGAGACTAGTGCTTTTACATTGAATGATTTTTTTTTGTTGTTGGTTTTTGCTTATCTTTGACAACTTGCTATGACCTGTTTCAAGCAACTCCAAAGAAGGGAGATCTAAATTGTAATAGAGAAGTACAACTTTTCATTGTGTTAAATTTTGTTTCACTTACTTTTTAAAAACTATTTTAGATTATCCAACTAGACTTTTTCTCTTGATGTAGTGATGCTAAGATTTTCAGTAAATAATACTGTGTAAGTTTTAGAGAAGTCAACTTTCTTTGTCCCATGTTATGAATGTGTTTGTTCAAAGAGGCAGAATTGACTTTCCATTATTTAACTTAAATTTTTAGTTGCATTAAAACATTTTAAGTTGTATTTTTACATGTACTTTTTAAAACTTAAAAGTTCTGTATATAGCCCAGCTGGTATGGCTCAGTGGTTGAGTATCAACCCATGCACTGAGAGGTCGCTGGTTCGATTCCCAGTCAGGGTACATGCCCAGGTTGAGGGTCTGATCCCCAGTGGGGAACATGCAGGAGGTGGCCAGTCGATGTTCTCTCTCGTCGATATTTCTAGCTCTCTCTCCCTCTCCCTTCCTCTCTCTAAAATCAATTTAAAAAAAGAAAGAAAAGAAAAAAAAATTTTTTTAAAGAAAATGATCTGTATATAGATTTTTTTTTTTTAGTTTATTGTATTAGTCTTTAAATTCTTTGCTTTTGAATTTTAGCTGTCGGTTACAACTGCATATTGACTATTACAACAAGGACTGCTAACTCTGTAAGTCTGAAAAATCTTATTGAAACATATGCAAGTGAAGACACATTAGGTATTTGAGGTTGGTGTTTGTTTTCACTGTAAATGAGAAAATGCTTTTAAAATCTGAACTTTTAAATAAATTTGTCCTTACAGAAATTACGAGGCCAAACTGAAGCTCTTTATATACTAACAAAATGTAACAGTACCCGTTTTGAGTTTATATTTACAAATTTGGTTCCTGGAAGTCCTAGACTTTTTACTTCTGTGATTGCAGTACACAGGTATGGGAATATTTTGTGGGTTATTGAGTATTTGTACAATAATTTTATGATATAAACATTTAAAAGTGTGGTGCTATCTTCCTCTAAGCTCTGTTGCAAATATCCTGAAGATACATCAAAAAATACATTGTATTATCATTTAATAAATACTTTGAGAGTATTTATGAAACACTTTGAAGGTATTTGTCAAACTACTGAAGATTCATAAAAATTTCTACTGAAAATTGTATTAGCTACAAAGATAGTTACAAGGAAATAGAAAATTCATTCAATGTAAATAACCAAGTATCATAATTTTTTTAAAATATGTTTTTATTGATTATTTTAGAGAGAGAATGGGAGCGAGAGAGAAACATCAATGTGAGAGAGAAACATCAGTTGGCCTCCTCCTGCACGCCCCTTATTGGGAATCTAGCCCGCAATCTGGGCATGTGTCCAGACCGGAAACAAACCAGGACCTCTCAGTCCATGAGATGACACTCAGTCCACTGAGCCACACAGGCCGGGCCAAGTCATATAATGTAATTATTGAGTTTAAAAGATTATTTTTCTAATAGTACAAAACAGGTCTGGGTGTTTTCCCCAAAGAGTGTTTTGGTTGTTTTGTGGTTGTTTTGTTTGCTAAATTATTTTCACTACCTCAGCTCTTTTATTTTTAATCAGTCCTAAGTGCTATGATTTTTTTTTTAAATCTTGGCTAAGCCCTGGTCGGTTTGGCTCAATGGTTAGAGCATAGGCCCCATGGACCAGTGAGTAGCAGGTTCGATTTTTGTCAAGGGCACATACCTTGGTTGTGATTTGTCCCCAGCCCTGATCAGGTCATGTGGGAGGCAACCAGTCAATGTGTCTCTCTCATATCGATGTTTTTCTCTCTCTCTCTCTCTCCCCCTCCCACTCTATCTGAACAAAAATGGAAAAAAATACCCTCCGGTGAGGATTGAAAAAAAAAAAAGCTTGACTAAGATGACAGGCAAAATAAATATTATACAAATTTATACAAACATACACACACAGATATATATACACACACACACACATGCACTCACATATACATATACATATACATATACATATGCCGTTGTTTTAATTTGAATTTCTTTTATTTGATGCTGAAATTTGTCTCTTTTTGGTCATTTATAGTTTCCTATTGTAAAATTTTTTATTATGTCCCTATCAGCCATATATATTGCAAATATATTTCTTATTTTTCTAGTTTGTTGATTTTTAATTTTGTTGATTTTTTTAATCTACACAATGGTTTCAGTTTTGTTTTGTTTTGTTGAGATATAATTCATATAACATAGAATTTACTATTTTAAAGTTTATAGTTTGGTAGTTTTGGTATATTCACAAGATATCACCACTACCCAATCCCAGAATATTTCCATCAACCCAAAAAGAAAACACCATAGCAGTCACTCCCCATTCCCTCCTCCCCACAGCCCCTGGCAACCACCGACTTACTTTATGTTTCTGTGGAATTTCCTATTCTGGATATGACATATAAATGGAATCATTCAATATGGTGGCCTTTTATGTCTGACTTCTTTTTAATAGGTCAATTGACCCCCTTTTTTTTTTTAATTGATTTTTTAAGAGAGAAAGGGAGAGGGAGAAAAAGAGAGAAGCATCAGTGTGAAAGCGAAATAGTAATCGGCTGCTTCCTGCACACCCCCTACCAGGGATCGAGCCTAAAACCTAAGTCTACCCTGACCAGAAATCGAACTGGCGTCCTTTTGTTGCACCGGATGATGCCCAACCAACTGAGCCACATCAGCCAGAGCTGTGTCTGACTTCTTTCACTTACGTAATTTTTTCAAGGTCCATCTATGTTGTAGCATATATTGGTACTTTATTCCTTTTTATAGCTGAATAATACTCCATTGTATGGACACGTATTTTGTTTGTCCACTTATCAGTTAATAGACATTTTTGTCTATTATGGATAATGCTGCTGTGAACATTTATGTATAAGTTTTGTGTGAAAACATATTTTTTAATTATCTTGGTCATATACCTAAACCTTAGCTTTTTATTTAACTTTACTTGGAGAAGTAATATAAAATCAAGTTCGAAGGGAGCATGGAAACTGCTTTTCTTTAGTGTAAAAATGTTATGTCCTCACCCCCCAAAATAATTTACAGCATAAATACTTTCCATCCCCCCCCCCCCCCGGTTAAATATTGATGATTACAGCACTGAAGGAAATTAAGATTTATAAGATTTAAATTTGCTTATAAGATTTATAAGCAAATGTTCATGTCCTGTGCCTGTGCCCTAACTGGAAATGCTCTTATTTAGAAGGTTAATTAGAGTTAAAATCAGAAATTTAACATTGAGTATTATAATTTATATGAATGACTTCTAAGGTTATTTAGACTAAGAAAATGTTTTAGTATGCTAAGTGAAATAAGTCAGACAAAGAGAGAGAAATACTATATGATTTATATATGGAATCTAAAGAACAACATAAATAAATGAACAAAGAAAATAGAAACAGATTCATAGCTACAGAGCACAGACTGACAGTTGCCAGAGAGGAGAAGGAGGGGACGTTGTGGACTGGATGAAAAAGGTGAAGGCATTTAGAAGTACAAATTGGTAGTTACAAAATAGTCATGGGGATGTAAAGTACAGCATAGGGAATATAGTCAATAATATTGTAATAACTATGTGTGGTGCCAGGTGGGTGCTTGAAATAGGAGAGGAATTACTTTGAAAAGTATGAGATTATCTAATCACTATGCTGTACACTTGAAACTAAAACAAAATAATATTGAATATAAACTGTAATTGAAAAATAAAATTTTGCCCAGCTGGTGTGGCTCAGTGGTTGAGCAACAACCCATGCACCAAGAGGTCCCAGTTCGATTCCTAGTCAGGGCACATGCCCAGGTTGTGGGCCCGATCCCCAGTGGGGGGCATGCAGGAGGCAGCCAATCGATGTTCTCTCTCATCGATATTTCTGTCTCTCCCTCTCCCTTCCTCTCTCAAAAATCAATAAAGAAAAAAAATAAAAGGAAAAATTTTAAAAGTTAAGAATTTTCTTCTTCATTTATTATTTATTAATAGAGAGACATAGAAAACAAATTTAGAGAGATTTGATACACACACACGCACACACACACACACACAGTTTGTCCGGTTCTGTCCTAGGGTAACTTAGAGCTGGTGCAGATTCTGATTTTCTGTGTAGAGGTAGATGTGCGCATACACTTTTCAGGTTGTAGTGAGAAAACGAATAATGGTGCTTCTGACTAAAACAGAGATGAAGGGAAGCATTTTGATAGAAAAATAATATCCATGTTTATTATATAGAAGCATTATTTTTCAGTTTGAGAGAAAATCTGTGTTCTCTAATTGTGCTATGTGATATATAGCACCTTAACAATTAGACATCTAAAAAGTAGTTTACTGAGATAAAATATGCAAGTGATGCACTGAAACGACAAAGCTACAAAGGACTGTAATTATCAGAACTTACTGAAAAGAAAAAAATTTTACTTTACTGTAATAATTATTTTAGTAATGTATATAAGTACTGGCAACTATATATTTTAGTAGCTAAGTAAACATAACCAAAGAAAGCTGAATTTTCAGTAGGGTTAGCCTTTTGTTTGTTCTCTTTTACAGAGCATATGAAACTTCTAAAATGTATCGTGATTTTAAATTGAGAAGTGCACTAATTCAAAATAAGCAACTAAGATTATTACCACAAGAACATGTATATGATAAAATCAATGGAGTATGGAATTTATCCAGTGACCAGGTATTGTACAAAAAAACTAATGAACCTTTTGGATCAGTGCCTTAGTAATCATTTTTCCATTTATCATTAGGTTTGTATATTCATTTAATTCTGTTAAAATTAGCATTATACCTCTTGATAAGTTAATATTATAACTCAATATAAAATAGTATGATTTTTGTATTTTTACTGTTTTGTCCTGTTTAGCAACATTTGCTCTACATTGAATTTAGAGCTGGAATGGACCTTAGAGATAATCTCTAGTTCAGTCTCTATTCACTTATGGATGAAAAATTCAGGCCCCAAAGAATTAAGTGACCTCACACATCAAGTTCGTCCCAGAGCCACCATCTCCCCACTGTACTTACACTGCATCTTGATAACCTGTGCTGATGGAGGAGAGCCATGGGTTAGACCATCGCAGAAGCTTTTTAATCTGAGCTTTATGGAGTTAAACATAAACATAGTGACTTCTGTATTCATTATTGTAACTTTTCATTTACTCTTGAAATTATTACCGGTTGAAACATGTAAGCAGCTAGTAGTTGGAATAAGTGACATTAATTTCTAGAGAAAAATCTGTCTCTTACCAAGAATAGTTTCTAGCCTTTGTGTTACAACCTAGATTAGACCGATAAACACGGTGGTAAAGCTATAACATTTGAATGAAAACATTTCTTAACTAAACATTGAATCATAAACTTAAATTGTAAATAAACTTTGCTCATTTGAAAAGTTCTAATTTTAAACCATGATAAAGGTTCCTTTTTCATTAGGAATCAGCAAAGTTTATTCTGTAAAGGGCCAAATAGTAAATAGTTTAGATTTTACAGGCCATATAGTTTCTTCCCCAACTTCTCAGTCCTGCCATTGTAGTGTAAAACCAGCCATAGACAACACATAAACAAGTGAGTGTTGCATTGTTTCAGTAAAACCTTATTATGGCCCTGGCCAGTTTGGATCAGCAGTAGAGCATCAGCCCACAGACCAAAGAGTCACAGGTTTGATTCTGGTCAAGGACACGTACTTTGGTTGCGGTTCATCCCTGGCCCCCATCAGGATCGTGTGGGAAGCAACCCATCAGTGTCTCTTCACTCACGTCGATGTTTCTTTCTCTCTCTCTCTGTCCCACTCTATCTGAAGATAAGTGGAAAAAAGTATCCTTGGGTGAGGATTAAAAATACATATATATTTTTAACTTTATTATGGACACTGAAGTTTGAATTTCATACAGTATTCATGTGTCATGAAATATTGTTCTTTTGACTTTTTTCCCAACCATTTAAAAATGTAAAAATGATACTTAGCTTGTGGGCCATACAAAATGAGGCAGCAAACCAGATTTGTCCTACAGATCATAGTTTACCAACCCCTGCTCTAGGTCATAGCTTAGATGTTACTTTCTGAAAGCTTCTTCTAGTGTGTTCCTTATGCAGCCTGTACTGAATTACCACTCCATATTATTACTACTCTAAAATACAGAGCTTTTCTATACCCCCATATTAGTTTGTAGGCTTTATAAGGGTAGGGGTACAGTTACCCTATTCATAGTTAGATCCTTACCACCTAGCATAACACCTGGCATTTTTAATTAGTTAAGATGTTCCAAAATTATCAGATACATCATTTTATTGAAAATAAGGATGTTATTGTCAACCTTACTAATGTTTATTTAAAAATAATAAATAAAATATGCCCTCCTGTTATTTTAAAAAGTCTTTATGGTATTTTACAAGTTTTCTTTTTCTAAAATAAGAGGAAACAATGATATAATGAATTATTCCTTGTAGAGTTAGACCTAGTATTGTTTAATGGGACTTGGGCTGGGAATAATGGTGGCTGAAATTTTTTATATTACAATTTTTTGCAAGATAAGAGTGGAGGGGGATGACATATATACTTATGTGTATATACTTATTCATTTAATTATAATTGGGAAATAGGTGATCTTTCTATTGTTTCAAACTTGGTCATCCCAGAAGAAGCCTTTTTAGGTTTTGGGTTTGTTAGTTAATGTTTTATTGGCAACCTCAAAGTATAAAAGAAAAATCTTGTAGTTTATGTGGTGGGGAGGTGGAGAATGATACATAAATGGTAGAGGCAGATCATTTTAGTGCCATATTATTAAGTCTTGAAGATTCTTTTTTAGGCCACTTTTGAGAGATGTTGAGGGGCCATGTAACTGGAGAACAGTTTAATCTATAGTTAATGTAGAAGAGCTATAATATATCTCTGTGGACTGATGGAGATTATCACATGTGTTTTGTCTCTTTCGTACCACAACTACCTTGCCTTGACTTATCCCAGGTTTTGAATAAGAGTCATAATAAGATCTAATACTTATGCAGTGCTTACTGTGTGCCAGACACTGTGCTATGGGCTTTATTTACATGGGTTATTTAATCAAATACTCATTTTACATTTGACACAATGTACCAAGAAGAAATTCACCCTGGTCAGACAACTGGTAAGTACTGATGGTATAATGATGATCTAACTTCACAGCCATGCTCTCAGTAGTCTAATTGTACTACCATGCAATGAATGATGAAGTCACTGATATTCCGTAATACTTGGTTCTGGTATTTGCTGTTGCTCTGATAATTAGAATTATTCTGGTGTTTAGAAAATAAAGAATAAGTATTCAAACATATGATCATTGATGTATCTCTCATTACTCTCCTTTACAGGGAAATTTAGGAACATTTTTTGTTACCAATGTGAGAATTGTGTGGCATGCAAATATGAATGACAGTTTTAACGTCAGTATACCATATCTGCAAATTGTAAGTGCATACATTTTGATGACCTCATTTTAATGCAGAATAAATAACTTGTGTTCAACAGTTAATAGGACTTTGGGAATTAGATAAGTTCTCTTTCTCCCTTGTTAAGTGACAGCAGTTTAACTGAGAGCATACTTTTAAAATGTTGATAATTTACTATTTTAACATAGAAAAGACCCAGTTGTGCTTACATTCAAGGGACACAGCACCATTACAACTTGCTATTAAGAGAAATAGCCTGGCCATTGTGGCTCAGTGATTGAGCATCAGCCCATGCACCAAGAGGTCACGGGTTCTATTCCAGGTCAAGGCTGTGGGCTCAATCCTCAGCAGGGGGCAAGCAGGAGGCAGCCACTCGATGTTTCTCTTTCTCTCTCCCTCTCTAAAATCAATAAAACCATATTTTTTTAAAAAAAGAGAGAAATATCCTAGATTGTAAAATTTTGAATAGTTTTTATACAGATTAAGGTGTGTGTTTTCTTAGATTCCATTCAAAGGGTTTTAGCTACTGAAGTTTCTCATAACCTTTCCATGAGGCTGGTACATGGCTGTTCCTTGGCATGGGTTCAGCACACTAATCCATACACTCTGTTTGGCTTTCTTGCTACTTTTTGTTCGAATCTTTTTTTTTTTTAATCCTCACTTGAGGATATGTTGAGAGAGAGCCGGAAACATCAATGTGAGAGGGAAACATCAGTCGGTTGCCTCCCGTTCACACCCCACCCAGGAATCAAACCCGCAACCTATTGGTGTACAGGGTGATGTTCCAACCAGCTGAGCCACCCAGCCAGGGTTCTGCTCAAACCCTTTTAAAGCCAGAATGAAATGATTAATTCTGTGAATGAACTGTTTTCATTGTATTCTGATACAGCTTTGGTGAAAGAAATCAAGATGGTGTTTAATGATAATGGGTTTAGCGTAAGTTAAAGCTATTAAAATCCAGAATAAGAAGTAACTACATGTAAGACTAATTTGTTTTGGGAAAAGATAAAAGTGGTTCCTTTTACTCTGCTGCTGCTGTTATGATAAGTATGTGATAAGGTGAAACAAATGATAAACTCCAAAAACTGAAGAATCTCATTTTACATGTAAAAAACTACTTTAGCCTCTAATGTATATCAGATGGAACATAAAAATACTTAATGAAAATCCTGTGAGACTATCCTATGCTAATTGCCCTTATTGTAGTATATAAGATTAAGCCGTTTCCTTAATAAATATTTATGGGGTAGGTACTATGTATGTGTATCTGGAAAATGTCATTTTTTAAGCGACTGATTGGCCTATGAGAAGGATAATTCTTTGAAAAATATTCCCAAGGCTGTCTTTTGCTAAATTGACTCACTTCTGAGTTACTTTAAAATATCTAATCATTCATTTGCCAGATATTGAGAGGCTCTTATGTGCTAGGTGCTAGAGATAAGGTCTCATGACAGTTCCTGCCATCACGGGGCTTTCAGTCAGGTGGTAAAAAGCAACACATTAAACAGAAAATCATAGATTCTGATAGGAAGAAGCAGTCTAAATAGAAGGCCAGGTTTTTGTAACAATTACCATTTAGTCAGTCTCCCTTTCCCTCTCCCTTTTCTACCCCACCTCCCTCTCCTTATGTTTCTCTCTCTCCCCCTCTCCCTCTCTTTCTTTCTTCTCTCTTTTTCAACTTCCAATGCCCATCTGTCTGGAAATGGGATAAGCCGTCACCTACCACAGATTACCCTCTCTGTCTTGTGGTCTGCTGGTCATAATGTTAGATCCCCTATGGTTCTCTTTAACCCCACCAGCAAGTACATTTTGTGTCACTTTCCACAGGTCCTGCTTGCCATTGTGCTTCTCCCCCTCTTCCCTCCTCCTAGGCCACTGATGTCACTCACCGCTCATCGTCTGCTAAGCAAGCTTAGTCCCCATTATACTTACCTGTTAATGTTAAGTATTCTTGACCTATCCCAGCCTTCCTCGATGCCCAGTGATGAATGCCCATAACTTATTTTTTTTCTTTTAATAAATGGAATGGAGATTCTTTAAGAAGTTAGGTACCTATGATGTAAGGAACAGAAAGCACATGTGACTTTTTTAAAATTTGTTTTTATTGGATTTTTAGAGAGAGAGGAAGGGAGATAGATACATTGATGTGAGAGAGAAACATCCATCGGCTGCCTTCTGCACACCCCCTACTGGGGGTCAAGCCCGAAACCGAGGCATGTGCCCTGACCGGGAATCGAACCGGGACCTTTCAGTCCAAGGGAGGACGCTCAATCCACTGAGTCACACCAGCTGGGCAGCACGGGTGACTTTTAAAAACTAACCCAGCCCTTGCCAGTTTGACTCAGCAGTTGGAGCGTCGGCCCACGGACCAATGAGTCGCCGATTCAATTCCGGTCAAGGGCAGGTACCTCGGTTGCAATTCATCCCCTGCCCTGGTTGGAGTCATCCGGGAGGCAGCCACTCCATGTGTCCCTTTCATGTCAATGTTTCTGTCTCTCATCCACTCCCTCCCTCCCACTCTATTTGAACAAAATGGAAAAAAAGTCCTCAGGTGAAGGGAGGGAGGGAGGGACTAACCCAGCCCAGCAATGATCCCCAGTGGGAGGCATGCAGGAGGCGGCCAATCGATGTTCTCTCTCATTGATATTTCTATCTCTCCCTCTCCCTTCCTCTTTCTCTCTAAAATAAATAAAGAAAAAATATTTATCCCTGGGCAGTTTGCTTTGTGGTTAGAGCGTCGGCCTGTGGACCAGAGAGTCTCAGGTTCGGTTCCCACTAAGGGCACGTACCTCAGTTGCAGTTTGTCCCTGGCCCCAGTAGGGGTCATGTGGGTGGCAACCAGTTGATGTGTCTCTCTGGCATCAATGTTTCTCTCTCTTCCTCCCTCTCTCCCTCTTGCTTTATCTGAAGATAAATGCAAAAATGTCCTCGGGTGAGGATAAAAAAAAAGAAAAAAATATTAAAAAAAAAAAACCCAGTCCCAACCTGGCTAGTGTGGCTCAATGGTTGAGCATTGACCCATGCACCAAGAGGTCGCCAGTTTGATTCCTGGTCGGGGCACATGCCCAGGTTGTGGGCCAAATCCCCAGTGGGGGGCATGCAGGAGGCAGCCAATTGTTGTTCTCTCTCATCAATGTTTCTGTCTCTCTCCCTCTCCCTTCCTCTCTCTCTAACATCAATAAAGAAAAATAAATTAATGAAAACTAGCCCGGCCTTAGGAGCCACAGAAGACACCTGCTATCTATAACTAAAAGTTTCCTGGCCTTTGGTTCAAAATATCCAGAAAGATTGTAACTCCTTAAAGTCAGAGAATGTTACACATATTTCGGAGATGTTATCCTTGTATTGCTTTACAAGTTTGCTACCTATTTCCAGTGTGAAAGTTTTCATTTTACTTGATCTCTTTTCCTTCAGATAAGTGTAATGAAGGAAAAAGGAAGAATTTTTTTCTTTAAGTTTAGATTATGAAAAGTTGTTCACTGTGTGAAAGTTGATAAAAGTATGCTAAAAATTCACTGCTATCAGATAATAAAAACAAGCATATTTTTCTTTTTCATTTTACATCTAGCGTTCAATAAAGATTAGAGATTCAAAATTTGGTTTAGCTCTTGTCATAGAAAGCTCTCAGCAGGTAAGATATTTAATATTTTTATTAGTCTTTAATAGATTTTTAAACTTTGAAAGTCTATTTTTAGTTTTATATACTAACCAGTTTACATCCAAGAAGAATATTAGCTATAACATTAAATTATATGAAGAATTTGAAGTCATATTATAGTCCCCATAGGAAGAATCCTGCTTATGTTTCTTTGTTGGACAGACAAGCTCATTATTATCATATGATTGTCATGTTTAATGACAGAGTCAAGTCATTATTTCAATCTTTATACAACCCTATGATACAGTTACTATTCTTTCCCTATTTTACAGTCAAGAAAACGGGGGCCTGGAGAATTTGGGAACCTTGCCCATGTTCTCACAACTAGTAAATGGTGGGGCTAGGTTTCAGTTCTAGATCTGATTGACTCAAAAGACTGTGTTTGAGAAATGCAGATATATACAGATACACACACACACCCATTTGAGATTTTATACTCTCATGAGATTATATTGTTTCTAATTGTAAATTGCTATGCCCCATTATGCCAAGTTTTTGAAGAAATACATTTAAGTAAAACATTTACTTATTTATAAAATCACTACCTCTTCTAAATTCTAAGTTTAAACATGAATGTCTCTCCTTTCCCCTTGGCCTGTTGATTAGTAGTTGCCAATTATTGAGTGCTTACTATGTTCTAGGAATTGTACAAAATATCATATATACATTATTTTATTTAATACCACAACTTGTTAATCATTTTATGGTTAGAAAATTGAGACTTAGATAATAAAAGTTTCTCAACATCGTACAGCTAGTAAATTTGTTGTAAAACCAGAATTTGAACCCCAAAGCGTATGCTCTCAACCCAAAGCATATGCTCTTACTTATGACAGTATACTACTTAATTTGTTAACACTCTTCCCCCAACAACCTGTCATGGTCACCTTTCTTTCTAATTCTTCAAGGAGAGAGCCTCAGGTAGATCATTCTCTTCTTTTAATATATGGTATATTCCTTTTCGAGGTCTAGTTCAAGAAAAACTTAGTTCCCTTGGCCTTCACAATCTACAGTGTATTTTTAAACTTGAAATTAAAGATGAAATTATGTGATGTCTGGATACACTTTAAAATAATCCTGAGTGGGTGAAGGGAGGAGACTTGGGGGAGGGTAAGGTTACAGAAGGAACAGAATTGGCTGCGTTTTGTTACTTGTGTAAGCTGGATGGCTACATGGATGCTTATGTTTGAAGTTTTTCATAATTTTAATTTGAAAAATCAGCTTACATATTATGCTCTGAAATAAGGACAATTAGACCTATAATTTGTCATACATATATACTTAAATAGCATTTCTCAGACTTGTTTTTTGTTTTTTCATTATTTGTTCTTGAAGAGTGGAGGATACGTTCTTGGCTTTAAAATAGATCCTGTGGAAAAACTACAAGCATCAGTTAAGGAAATCAATTCACTCCACAAAGTCTATTCTGCCAGTCCTATATTTGGAGTGGATTACAAGATGGAAGAAAAGGTAATTTGTTCACTAAGTGAAATACAGTGTTTGCTGAATTGTTTTTACACAATCTATAAAATTTAGATATAAATATATTATGTACAATTTAATTTTAAACGATGTTTAAAATGATAACTATACAGCCCTGGCCGGTTTGGCTCAGCGGATAGAGCGTCGGTCTGCGGTCTAGAGAGACCCGGGTTCGATTCCCGCTAGGGGCATGTACCTCGGTTGCAGTTTGTCCCCGGCCCTGGTTGGTCGTGCGGGTGGCAGCCACTCGATGTGTCCCTTTCGCATCGATGTTTCTCTCTCTCTTCCTCTCTCTCTCTCCCACTCTATCTGAACAAAAAATGGAAAAATGTCCTCGGGTGAGGATTAAAAAAAATAATAAAAATAAATAAATAAATAAAAATAAAATGATAACTATACAGACTCTGCTCGGCGAGCATGGCCCTGGCCGTCACTAATTTGTGCTCACACCTGTCTTCTGTCTGCTTCGTCATTTACTCTGCCCTTCAGAGAAGTGTCCATGTGCAAGGCTCCTCCATGTGGACAGAATGGAACCTCTCACTCTCAGTTTCATTTTTACATATTCTGCTTCAGCCTCCCATTAGCACAGGCAAACCTTACAAGCCTCACAACACCAATTTCTTTCTCCAAGGCCCTGCAGTAGAGCAACTACAGGAGTCTGCTTCACCCATATGGTCTGTGCCCATTCCTGTTCATCAATTCCTGTGCCATACCAGTTATGAAATAGCTTGAGTATCACCCCCCACATGTCTGCTCTTTGCCTCCCCATGCTATCTGATTTCTGCACCAACCTCTGCTCTCCAGATACATCACTTCTCTTTTGGCTTTACTTTCAGCCTCTCCAGCTAGGTCCCTTGCCTTCACTGCACACTCACCAGCCACTGCATCAGAGATGTCTTCTCTGTCTGCTCTATCAGCAGTGCCCTTGCCAGAGGCGCTCTATCTGGTGCCCTCACTAACTGCTCTGTCACAGGTTCTCTTGCTGTCTGTTCTTTTGGGCCCTCACTGTATACTCTATTGCTGGTGTCCTTGTCATCCACTCTTTCATCAATATCCCTGCTGGTACTCAGCATGTTGAGCCATGTCACACATTCCATATATTATCTATATTTCTCCTCCTATTCTTGGACTACAGCATGTGACCAGAGAAGATCAGAAGTTGGGGTAGGCTGCTAAGTACAAATTCACACTGTCTGACTTCAGCCAGGCCCTTCTTGCCTGATGCTCCTTGTACTTAATTTTTTTTCTCTCCCTGTCAAATTCCATACATATCTCGTTCTCCTTCCAACAGAAACTTTTCTCTGGATTGTTGATGTTTTATTATACATATGCCCCATGTAGTTCCTCTCCTTCATCATCCTTTTCTATTTTCTTCCCAACCTGCACTTTTTAAGTATTCTCCCTTTCCCTCTACCTTCTCTGTGTATTCGTCAGTAGTATCACCTGTTCCTCAGTTCCTTCGACTTGTAGATGACCCTTCTGTAGATGACCCTCAATGTTTCTTTCTTATCTTGACACATACTCTCATGGTTCCAGTTTTCTTGAATATTTCACATAGATGAGCATTCCAAATAATATAAATTGAATTTCTCATTTAAAAATTTATCTTAGGCCCAGCTGGTGTGGCTCAGTGGTAGAGCATCCACCCATGCACCAAGAGGTCCCCAGTTCAATTCCCGGTCAGGGCACATGCCCAGGTTGTGGGCCTGATCCCCAGTGGGGGGCATGCAGGAGGTGGCCAGTCAATGTTCTCTCTCATCGATGTTTCTATTTCTCTCTCCCTCTCCCTTCTTCTCTCACTAAAATCAATAAAGGGAAAAAAAAATTTGTTTTAATTTATCTTAGTAATTTAATTAGATAAATAATTTTCCAAGTCAGTAAAATATACTAAGACTTAGTTAAGTATCTCAAATTGGCATACCTAAAATGTTATCCTTTTTCTCAAAAGCAACATCCTGCTGATTTATCTATTTATTTATTACTTACTTATTTTTAGCCTTGTCAAAGTTGGCTGTGCTCAAAACTTTAGAGTAGCCCTGGCCAGCATGACTTAGTTGTTAGAGTGCTGGCCCATGCACCAAAGGGTCACAGGTTCAATTCCCAATGAAGGGCATCTACCTGGATTACAAGTTTGATCTCCAGCTCCAGTCCAGGTGCTTGTGGGAGGCAACCAATCAATGTGTCTCTCTCACATCAATGTTTCTCTCTCTGTCTCTCTACCCTCCCCTCTCACTCTACCCTCACCCCTCTCTTCCTCCCTCCACTCTCTCAGAAAAAATATTCTCAGGTGAGGATTAACAAAAATAAAAAATAAATTTTTAAAAAACCTTGGAGTTTCCCTTTTTTATTTTTCATAGTATCTTTTTTTTATATATAATTTATTGATTGATTTTAAAGAGAGAGAAACATGGAGTTGTTGTTCCACTAATTTATGCATTCATTGGTTGATTATTTTTTTTTAACTTATGTTTATTGTTGGATGTATTACAGATGTTGCTCCTTTTTTCCCTATTGACCCCCTCCTCCCCACTCCCACCTTTCCCCACACTGTTGTCTGTGTCCATTGGTTATGCATATATGCATAGAAGTTCTTTGGTTTATTTCTTCCCATCCCCCCGCTTCCCTTTGAGGTGTGTCAGTCTAACAACCAATTTGTACTTCTTAATTTCTTCACCTTTTTCACCCATCCTCCAGTTCCCCCTCCCATCTGGCAACCAACAAAATGTTCTATGTATGAGGCCATTTCTGTTCTGCTTGTTCATTTTGTTTGTAGATTCAATTGTCGATAGATATGTATTTATTGCCATTTTATTGTTCATATTTTTTATCTTCTTTTTCTTCAAAAAGACCCTTCCAACATTTTATATAATACTGGTTTGATAGTGATGAACTCCTTTAGCTTTTTCTTGTCTGGGAAACTCTTTAATATGTTCATCGATTCTAAATGACAGCTTTGCAGGATAGAGTAATCTTGGTTGTAGCTTCTTGCTTTTCATCAGTCTGAATATTTCTTACCACTCCCTTCGGGCCTGCAAAGTTTCTTTTGAGAAATCAGCTGACAGTCCTTTTTATTTAATCCTCACCCGAAGATATTTTTACATTTATCTTCAGACAGAGTGGGGCGGGGGGGCAAACATCAATGTGAGACACATTGATTGGTTGCCACCCACACGACCCTAACTGGGGCCGGGGACAAATCACAGCCGAGATATGTGCCGTGCCCTTGGCTGGAATGGAAACTCTGTGGTCCACAGGCCAATGCTCTAACCGCTGAGCCAAACCAACCAGGGTTCAACTGACAGTTTTATGGGAGCTCCCTTGTAGGTAACCAACTGCTTTTCTCTTGCCACTTTTAAGATTCTCTCTTTGAGCCTGGCCAGTGTAGCTCAGTGGTTGAGCATCAACCCATACACCAAGAGGTCACTGGTTCGATTCCCGGTCAGGGCACATACCCAGGTTGTAGGCCTGATCCCCAGTGTAGGGCATGCAGGAGGTGGCCAGTTGATGTTTAAAGAAAAAGTATTCTTAAAAAAAAAAAAAAAAAACAGGGCTTTTTTTTTACACAGTCAATTAAACCAGTCTCTTCCCTGTTCCCATCTCTTCCTTTCCACACAAACCTGACTGCAAACCCAATTTCACCATTTATTTGTGATCCTAGGCAAATCTGAGTTTCAATTTTTCTCATTACAAAATGAAGAAATCGCTCTTAAAAAGCTATTGAAAAAGAAAAAAGTTGCCCTGGCCAGGTTGGCTCAGCGGTTGGAGTGTTGGCCGGCGGACCACAGAGTCCTGGGTTCGGTTTCCACTAAGGGCACGTACCTCGGTTGCAGTTTGTCCCCAGCCCTGGCTGGTGTTGTGTGGGTGGCAATCACTCGATGTGTCTCTCTCACATTGATGTTTCTCTCTCTCTCTTCCTCCCTCTTTCCCTCCCACTCTATCTGAAAATAAATGCAAAAAAAAAGATGTCCTCAGGTGAGGATTAAAAAAAAAAGTTGCCCTGGCCAGTGTGGCTCAGTTGTTTGAGCATCCTCTGGTGCACTGAGAGGTCACCTGTTGGATTCCTGGTCAGAGCACATGCCCAGGTTGCTGGCTCAGTTCCCAGTGCAGAACATGCAAGAGGCAGCTGATCAATGTTTCTTTCTTTCTCTCTCTCTCCCCCTATAAAATCAATAAAAACATTTTTTTTTTTTTTTGCTTATGTGCCCCAAGGAGGAACCGAACCCAGGACTCTCTGGTCCGCAGGCCGATGCTCTCACCACTGGGCCAAACTGGCCAGGGCACAAAAACATATTTAAAAAAATAAAAAGTATTGATCATATTCATAAAATGCTCGGCACATGGGAGACACTCCGTATGTTTGTTCTATACCCATTCTCTCTCTGCCTTCTTTTCCCCTTCTTTGGCCCTAGGACATAATCATAACCAACAATAATGGCTTACTCTGTCACCTCATGGAAATCCCTATTCCTGCAGCCACCTCTTCAGAGAGGTCTTCCCTGACTGTCCATCTAAAATGGCAACCTCCATCACTTTTTGTCCCTTGTTCTGCTTGCTTGCTTTATTTATTTATGTGTTTTTATTGATTTTTTAGAGAGAGGAAGGGAGAAAGAGCAGCCTTTTCTACTGTAAATAAACTCCATGAAGTCAGGGATTTTTGTCTGTTTTCTTTAACTGTTGTATCTCCAGTAATCTCAACTGGCACATAATAGATTCTTAGTGAATATTCATAGTTGTTGAATGACTGTGTTGAACACCTGTTTGCCATTCATTGCTCTAAGAACTTTATATACATCATCTCATTTAATCCTCGCAACAATACTATGAAATGAATTATCTTCATCATCTCACAGTTAGAGAGACTGAGGCTTAGATAGGTTAAATTACTTGTACACAATGATACAGCTCTAACTATAATTGAAACACAGAGGCTAACTTCAGAGTATGGAATCAGGCCACTCTCTTGTCAAGCAATACACTTCTACCCTCAGCCCTCCCCCACCAATTACCTATCAATCAAATCCAAATTTTGGGGGCTGGTATTAAAGAATTTCAGTAGACTTCAGTCTACCTTTCCCACCTTATCTGCATAGCCATAGTGTCTGGTGAGAACATTATTCACGTGGACTTTAGTGTGAATGATGCATTCTAGTGTTGTTCAATACTAGCCCTACTTAGCTCCTTCTGTCTCAGGGGACTCTTACATTCTCACCATACTGGATTATTCATCATTCCCCAGCCACATCCTGTGATTTCTCACCTTTGCTGATGCTGATCCCTTCTGCCAGGAATACCCTTTCCCCTAATCCTCCCTATGAAAATAATCCTCATCCTAAAAGCCCTAGATTAAGACCTTTACGTCATGAAAGTTTCTGGAATTCACAAGCCAGAAGTTGTGCTTTCTCCAAACTCTGATTATGACAGATAATGCATTTGTTACAGCTACTTTTGTATGTTGAACCATGTGATACTATTAAAATTTTACCATTTTCAGCTAATAAAAATGGCAATTTCATATGGTTCAACTTAATATTTAGTTATTTGTAGTTGTGTTTTATCCTTTGCTCCACTCCTACTAGACTATAAACGTTTTGTGGGTAAAGTCAGGGACTTTATACAGTTTTTAGCATTAGCATAGTGCCTAATACACCAGGGATAAAATATTTGGAAAACAAATTAATAAATATGAGTATTATATTTAATCTGTTTTACCTTTAGAATATTCCTTACAAAGGCTTAGTTCTTTTACTTTTCACAGATTCTATTTAATGACTATTCGGGGGGAAATTGAAAATTTGCTATTATATAAAACTGTTTTGTTTTTTTTTAACTATATGAAAGAAAATCAGATAAAATCCAATGAGTTTTTTCTTTTAGGATATCTGAAAGTATCATATGGAGGGTATGTAAATTGTCATTTTAATTCTTTTGATGATATTGACTTTAGATTTAGAAGCTTAGGTTTAACTGACTCATTTTATTACCCAAGTTAGTTTTAATAGAATATGTTATACAATGATTTTTATAAGACTTGAGTAGTTTGCAATTGTGTTATCTTTTTACAAGTATTTACAATTCTCTCAGTATAATTTTACTAAAAGTATTTGTTTAATTAGTTTTGTCTCTTTGATGCATTTTAACATCTGATTTTCAGCCACAGTCCCTTGAAGCTCTGACAGTTGAACAAATTCAAGACGATGTAGAAATAGACTCTGATGATCACCCAGACGCTTTTGTGGTGAGCATCACAAAGGAGGCTACTAAATTTTTTGTGATTTTTTTTTTTTTATTCAAGTCACGTTTTAATAGATTAAGTATGTAAAACGCCATCAAACCTGAGACTTTTGAGAGTATTTTAAACTTAATTTAGAGTGTGATATATATTTTTTAAGTTAGGGGTTTTTTTGTGTGTGTCAGTACTTGTGAATTTACCAAACTGGGAAATAGTTTGAGAACACAATTATTCAGAAGAGTTTAGATATGTGAAAAGTTATTTTATATATTAGAATAATAGGACATGTTAAATATAGTTAATTGGATTAATTTAAAATTTGTACTTTCTATAATTTTTATGAGATGGACTTCCCTTCAACTTATAGGTATATTATCTTAAAACAAATATCTATTTGAGCAATAAACTTTCCCATTTCCAAATCTGTATTATTTAATTAATAGCCAAAATAATAATAATGCTTACTTTATATTGTGGTCTATGAATCTGACCAGGATGCCTCTCTGGGAACAAATATTTTTAAACAAAAATGTGAAATTAGTATAAAATATTTAATTATAAACTACTACTACTATCTTAAACTATATGCATTTGCTGACTGATTGCTTTGTTTTGTTTTGCCAGCATCTTCTTGTAAACAAGAAGGGATGATGATTTCATACCCTCAAAGTCATTTTTTTTATCTCCTTTCAAGTTAACAGTGCTAATTAAATACTAATAACAAAGCACATTTTTAGAGCTTAAAACACAGCTCTTGAAGACCTTAATAGTGACTGACAGAAAAAGTATATTCTGCTACCAGCATTGTAAAGATAACAGAAAATCATTAGACACATAGTAACAGAATATAAAATACGTGTTATACACAGAATTGTTCTGTAAATTAATTGGCTGTTCCTTAGCCTACTGACCTATTATAATATTATGTCATGTATGTGAAATATAATTTTCTTTATTTTATAGGCTTATTTTGCTGATGGCAATAAGGTAAGGATATTTTACCTACAGTATATGAAAAAAAAACTTTCTATTTTCCAACATTTAGTATTCACAAACTTATGTGAAACCTATTTTTTGTTTTTTTCCTCTTCCTTGCCCACCTTCTCTATTCCCATCTTATCCTCTTATCTCCCAAAAAGCAACAAGATCGTGAACCTGTATTTTCAGAAGAACTGGGGCTTGCAATAGAGAAATTGAAGGATGGATTCACCCTACAGGGACTTTGGGAAGTAATGAGTTGATCTTGAGTTGAGCTGGATTTCTGTTTAAACATATCTCAAGATTAAAGATAACTAGTTTCCTGCTATAAAGCATGAAATGAATAGTTTTTACATTTACAGAAAAAGCGTTTAAGAAAGAGTTTTTTATTGATTAAGGAAAATTTGGGCTTTTACTGTCAGTCTTTTTTAATTATATTTAAAATTGTAATCAAAATGTTTCTGGTTTGTAAATATGTCTATTTTGTACCTAATACTTGTAAATTATTAGTCTCGGGTATTAAATGAATGTATCACATTGGGTTTAATAAAGAATTTCTGCAGCACCACTTAATGTTTTGAAAGTATTATTTAAAAGAATAAGACTATTCTTATGGAGTAATCAAATTACAACTTTTAAATCACAAAAATCTGCTTTAAGTATATAGCATCTAGGTCCAAATGAAAGCCAACTGTAATATAAATTACAACCCTTAAACTTGTCAGTTTTAGGTGATAGTTTTAGTAAAAACTAAAAATTATAACTAACTCTGGACTATATCAACCCCTATGTAAAGTTTTGGGCACTGTTTGATAAATAATTTCAATATAGCTTTGGCATGAATATATTTTATTTTGAAAGTAAATAATTTAAAATCATTTGTAAATAGTTCATTTATTGACTTCATCCTTGTTTGTATTAATTGAAACTTCTTTGAAGTTTCCAAAAATAGGATATTATTTTCTGATGTCTTGTGGTTAGGTAAGATTTGCTGACTTCTCTGGCCCCAGTGCTTTTTGCCACTGCTTTGGTATAAAGAAACGTCGTAAGGAACCTAAATCGCTGAAATTAGCCAAGGAGCCCTCTTTCTCTAGAGGGAAAGGAGTGTATAAAAACATTTAAAATATGGTTCAACTGTATGTACAAACATAAACATACAGTAAAACCAAGTACTAACCTGAGTCCAATAAAAAACAATAAAAGCTATAAAGTGGTTTCTTTATTTAAGTAGGAAAGGATTTCTATATTTTTAAGGGATGGGGTTATAATAAACAGCTTATATTAAGGGGAAAAATAGTTGTTGGAAAAATTTAAACAGGTCACATAATGCTATGAAGAATATTGTTGAAATAGTTTTTTAGGTAATAGAAACTTTATATAACTGCCAACTAGTAAGAAATAATCTCAAATATCATATCATGGTGTTTGCATCTTACTCAATCTTTTCAAATGTTAGGTGTTAACGTGTAGAGAGAAATGAGTCATTTATTGTTTAAACAAGGGAGCAGCTGCTAGTTTTTCCTAGTGTCTTAAAACCTTAGTGGCATCTATAAATGGAAAAAGAGTCAATGAGCTCTTCTTTCAGCTGTTATTTTAGCAGCTGACAGTACCACTGACTTCACCGTGATTTAAATAAGAGAAACAACCTTTACTCATGGATAGAGAGCTTGAAGTTTAAAAATATCTAATTCCCTGATCTGGAGACATTCATTCATTCAAGAAATATCTATGGAGCACCCACGAGGCCCTGGAGCAATAGCACTGAACAAAACAGCCCCCTGTTCCCCCCTCAAAAAAAAACCCCTGACTTCATGGAGCTTATATTTTGTTGAGCATGTTTAAGAATACCAAGAAGTGGTGCATATATGTAATGGAATATACTCAGCCATAAAAAAGAAAAATATGAAATCTTGCCATCTGCAACAACATGGATGGACCTAGAGAATATTGTGCTAGTGAAATAAGTCTGGCAGAGAAAGTCAAATGCCAGATGATTTCACTTATATGTCAAATCTAAAAAACAACATAAACAAGCAGACAGAAACAGACTCATAGATACAGTGAAGATTTTGATGGTTGCCAGATGGGAGTAGGGTTGGGAGGATGGGTGAGAAAGTGAAGGGATTAAGAAATCCAAATTGGTAGTTACAGAATAGTCGTGGGGATGTCAACTACAGCATAGGGAATATAGTCAATAATATTCTAATAACTATGGTGTCAGGTCAGTACTAGACCTATTGGAGTGATCACTGTGTAAGTTATATAAATGTCTAATCACAGGGTTGTACACCTGATATTAATATAATATTCTACATCAACTATAACTGAAAAATAAATTATTTAAAGAGAAAAAATACCAGTCTTAGATATTACAGTATTTCTACAGCCCCATTGAGTTCAGAAAATGTGACAATATAATTTTGTAATAAAATATTTCATAAACAAGTATATGATGCTATCTTTATATAAACAAAAGATCAATTTTCTTCCAAATCATGCCTTCTGCATTCCATAATTAATATGGTATTCTATTATACTCAACAACTTAAATTATGATTCCAGTTATACTGTACATTCTTTTTTCTTTTTCATATATACGACCTGTTTTCCAAATTGTATAGGTGATGTAGCATTTCATCCTGATTTTGCTGTATTCTGTTGATAACATTGTTCTCGTGGGCTTACATCTGTTCTTCATAACTTTTTCTTTAATGAAAAATAATCTTAAACACTTTAAATCACAGAATATCTTTAGTGATCATATTGTTTGTGTGTGGGTTTTTAATTTCCCTAGTGTTGACTTTAAACAATTTTTTCTTTTTTGTCTTGATGATTCTTTTTATTTTACTTGTTTTATTGTTATTGCTTGCCACATCAAATACTAAATAGAGTGAGGCAGGGTGTGAATAAAAATAATTTTATAATTTCATTCAATACTAATGTTAGTTTTTCCACTTACAAAGATAATTTAGAATGTCTTAGGAAATTAGCAGTTTCTCTGTATTTATTTAATTTATGATGAGGTTATTATTTTTAAGGTGTTTCTAGAACAACTGTAATTATAGTACATAAATAGAAGTCTTTAGATTTCCTATTTCTAAAATAAAAGTATATACCTCACTGTTTTAAGTTAAAAATAAAACTTTGTGAGTAACAGTTATTGGAAAGGGGATCTTGCTTATGAGTATTCAAATGAACTCACCTCATATTCTTGACCTTTGCATCCTTAATCCAGATAGCCAAGTAGCTTGCCACCAGACATTTTTAGTGGACTGACTCATTTTTATGATTCAATTTTCTGTTAGTTCAATAAACATTTTCTTGTGGTAGCCTTTATTAGCATCTCTTCTAATGCTTTATGTATTTTAAAGCTTTCCACTTCATTCTAATCTCTTATTTCTGAGCTGTTTCCTTAGTGATAAAAAGTTTCAGTTGTTCCTTTCCATCTGTAACAGCTGCGAGAACAACTCTTCTTTCCAAACTAGCTCTCCGAAATTCCCGTTGTTCGAGTTGGTGTCTAAATTTAGCAGGTGGGATTAAATTGCAGAGGCTGCAAGCTGGGCAAAGCACACTGATCTGCCTTTTTACAGCTAGACCTGTGTGCTGCGAGGAGCGGAGGCCTTCAGTGTCCCCTTCCTTACCCAGGTTACTCACAAAATGGATTCCCAGCGGGAACTCGCAGAGGAGCTGCGGCTTTACCAATCCACCCTTCTTCAGGATGGTCTAAAAGATCTCCTGGACGAGAAAAAGTTCATCGATTGCACCCTAAAAGCTGGCGACAAAGGTATCCCTTGCCACAGATTGATTCTGTCAGCTTGCAGTCCTTACTTCCGAGAGTATTTCTTATCTGAAGTGGATGAGGCGAAGAAAAAGGAGGTCGTGCTGGATAACGTGGACGCTGCTGTGCTGGAGTTGATCATCAAGTACCTCTACTCTGCCAGCATCGATCTCAACGACGGCAACGTGCAGGACATCTTCGCCCTGGCCAGCCGCTTTCAGATCCCCTCGGTGTTCACTGTCTGTGTTTCTTACCTTCAGAAAAGACTGGCTCCCGGTAACTGCCTGGCCATCCTGAGATTGGGACTTCTCCTTGACTGCCCGAGGCTTGCCATCTCTGCCCGCGAATTCGTGTCTGATCGCTTCGTACAGATTTGTAAGGAGGAGGACTTCATGCAACTGTCTCCGCAGGAATTGATCTCCGTCATTTCAAATGACAGCCTAAATATAGAAAAGGAAGAAGCAGTCTTCGAGGCGGTGATGAAATGGGTGCGAACAGACAAAGAAAACAGGGTTAAAAGCCTTAGTGAAGTGTTTGATTGTATTCGTTTTCGCCTGATGACAGAAAAATATTTTAAAGATCGTGTTGAGAAAGATGATATAATTAAAAGCAACCCAGAACTCCAGAAAAAAATCAAAGTTCTCAAAGATGCTTTTGCAGGCAAACTCCCAGAACCTAGCAAAAATGCGGAGAAGGCTGGGGCTGGAGAGGTGAATGGAGATGTTGGTGATGAAGATTTACTTCCTGGTTACCTGAATGACATTCCCAGGCATGGGATGTTTGTCAAAGACCTCATCCTCTTGGTTAATGACACAGCTGCAGTGGCTTACGATCCCACAGAAAATGAATGCTACCTTACTGCATTGGCTGAACAGATTCCCAGAAATCATTCCAGCATCGTCACCCAACAAAACCAGGTATACGTGGTAGGAGGACTCTATGTTGATGAAGAAAATAAGGATCAACCTCTACAGTCATACTTCTTCCAGGTAAGAAAGGCTATTTTTATACAGGTAGAGACATAAAGGAAAGGTTGTTACTCGTCATCCAGTCAGCTGATTTTCAAATTATTCAGGCTGCTTGCATTTTATTCTACTTGCTAGCCTATTCCAGTTCCCCCAAAAAAGTATAATTGAACAGATTTTTTATCTTCTTCCAAGTTTCCTAAAACTGAAGTCCTTGAGGTAGCATTGCATCTTTTAGTTATGGCTACTGCCTATAATATAATGTTGTTGAAAATGAAAAGAACTTGTACATATATTTCATACTTTGAATTACCTTCTAGAAAAATCTGCACAAGTATCACTAATTTGAATTAACAATATTCAGAAATTTTTATTTACAATAATTTTTTTATACATGACAAGTGACTACATTTATTTAGATCAGAGTTGGACTTAAACATTGTTATAACTTATCTGTTCTGTGAAACCACAGAAGGTTCCTAGAAAGCAAATCCTAAACTAATAGACCCTAGAGTTTGTTTGAAGGGAGTTTGTTTCACTTTGTCAACGCATTGTGCTGTATCAGTTTGTGAAGGAATCAGTGGCTTCACCGTTATCTTCCGCAATGCCAAAACCTGTACTTTGTAGCTTATGGCCAGCTCAAAGAGTTTGCTTAGGTCA